CAGGCTAGGCTAGGCGGATGAGATTGGAACCAGGAGTCCTGGGGGTGTTGGCAGTATTTCCATTATGTTGAGGCCACCAGCGAATTTTGGTGATAGAGGGGCACTACAGGCACACCATCAACCACACATCCTCTCTTACAACAGTAGAGCGGGTGTGCCTGTATCATTTTCCTTGGTCATATGCCCCCCTCCCCACCCCCACACGCACACACACCCTCAATTTTCGTTATTTAGATTTTGAATTAATTCATGAATGTTGATGAATTTGATTTAGGATATTGTGAGGAGGCCTGTCGCTGTAAATGCGAGGAAAATTGGAGGAGCATTTCATCCTTTTGAGAAGGAGAAGGTTGGGGTTAAAGCTCCGGCAGCAGCTCCAGCAAGCTCGACGACTGAGAACACTAATGAAGGTGGCCGAGGAAATGGTGGGTCCATGGAGGAGAAGGAGAAGGAGGGACATTCTCAGAGGAAGGCGAGGCGATGCTGGTCGCCGGAGCTTCACCGGAGATTTCTGCATGCTTTGCAGCAACTTGGAGGGTGTCATGGTGGGTTTCGATGCGAAAGATTAGGGCTTTTTGGAGTATTAGTTCCTTAAATCTTTCATATTTTCAAATCAGTGCCTCAAATAATTGAAATCTCTATTTGGCTCCCTAGTTCTTGAATTATTTTGAGATTAGTCCTTTCAATCAAGGGTAAAGGTCGCAATTAGAGAGATTAATGTGAATCAATGTATGAGAATTGGGGACCTAATAACAATTTCAATCATTGGGGGGATTAATTTTAAATTAACTAATCAAGAATCGAGGGACCCAATAGCAATTTTAATAATTTTAGGGGCTACTTTCAAACTATGAAATATTTAAGGGGTTAATATCGTGAACAATAAACTTTGAAATATTGTTGATGTTTTAGCTAGGGGAAAAGTGCTCCTTATATCCTGTTTAGTGTTACTTTCCACTTGAAAATGTTCAATGGCTTGCCCTAATATTTCTAATGAAAACAAAGTTACAAACATTATTTTACTCTCAATAAATGGTACTGTTTTCTATCAAATGTTCTATTTGTGTAAATTTTTCTTTCTTTTAGTTATTATCATTTGTTTTGGTTTCTGAAGATTTATAGGTGGAATGGATTTTTACAGTTGCAACTCCTAAGCAAATTAGGGAGCTGATGAAGGTAGATGGGCTAACCAATGATGAGGTCAAGAGTCATTTACAGGTGATTTTTCGTTTCCTTTTCTTTGAGATTTCCTTGATTCTAGATTTAGAAGAATATATATCTACACCTGGCTTTCTTTACTTGGTTGAGGTCCATAAATAGTTTCGTCTAGTTTTTCAGATTTCTCTTGTCCAGATTCAAGCTCCCTTTTCTTTTTAGAAGCTTCTCCATTATCTTTATGGAAGAATATTCTTTTAGATTGAAAGCCTGTTTCTTTAACAAGGTGAGTTGATGAAGGAAGGAATAGATTCTAGATACCATACATTGAATCTGCAAGTGGTTTTTGTCAAATATGATGTGCTGAAATTTGCAGGAAACATTGGATTCCTGCAGTTCGTACATCCCTCTTCTATTAATGCTCGTCCCACAATCCGCCAATTAACTTCTAATCATTTAGTGGACCCTATGAACAATATTCTTTATAAAAATTATTTCAAGAATCTTTTAATTGTAGGATCGGGTCAATACTTATTGATCCAATTAGCTAATTGTAGGGGTTCTCTATGTTCAAGAATGCAGAGAATCTCAACCCGTTTTTAAGTAACAAAAAATTAGTCCTTAATAAACAATAGCCCGTTGCAAATGTCAATTTAAGAAAAAGATCAGTGCTGTTACAATGTTTTGTTAATGATGAAGCATGACTATGAGTACTATTGCAATCCATTTGAAAAGGGAATGATGTGTATGAGATGAAGGCTCATTTTGCTAAATGATCTACGAGGAGAGAAAATTTATGAGGTCCACACCTTTTGATGTGATAAGTAAGGCGAGTCTCACTACATGACTATCTCTTGGCAGTTTATTTAATAAAATAAATCACCAGCTCATTCTCACTATTCCCTTCATAATATAACAATCTTATAGCAACTGCATTTGGCAGATTGGTTTATCTCTTAAAGTAAGCTCTAGCCTTTTTGATATAACTCATTCAAGATTTATAAAATTCTATTACAGCAGGCTTATAGTTATATTCTTATGGTTTCTCGATCTAAATCCTTTGGCATTTCCTTAGGAGGTTTGGACAATTTGAATCAACTCTGATCTATTAAATATAAAATTGTAACATTCAACCCTCACTACAACTACGTACGTAGGTTGGTTTAGTAGAAGAGACAGCTTTAAACCGGGGTCATGAGATATTACTACCACAATGGACACACATTTAAATTGGGGGTATTAGATAACTCTGAAATTCGACTAATATTGAACACACATTTAAAGCGGGGGGATGAAATATTACTCTAATCATAACTTAAGAATTTTGATGCAATAGAAGAAACTGCAATTTCTCATTATTTTTATTTTATTTTTGGATTGCGTCTACTTTCCTCTCCTTATATACATATATTTGTTATTCTTTCAGAAATACCGGCTTCACATCAAAAGGCCAACAACTCCTACAGTTCATAACAATAGCAATAGCAATGCTCAGCAACCTCAAATTGTGTTAGTCGGCAGCTTATGGATGCCACCACCAAATTATACAACAGAAGCTGAATCAACTCCATCAAATGAGATATATACTCCAGTTGCTTCTCTTCCCTTCGAATTTGATCTGCGAAAAAGGGACACATCTCCTGAAAGAGATGATAATGTCGAGGATTCTGAAAGACCGAAATCACATTCATCAAATACTTCTTCTCAAACAACTACGGCTTCGCTCCCTTAAGGAGTTTGTGAATAGATATGCATTGTGAATTGATTCTGTTTAACTTTTGTAACACGAGCTTCTTCATCGCCTTGTGTTGTTTCCTTGTGTGAAAAATAAGTGAGGACAGTTACATGTATCTATACAGATTTCTCTGGATGATAGAACAACAGTTAGCCTATATCTTCATGCTGTTTTACTGAAGTTTCATGTGCTTGGCGCTATTGATCCTTTGCATCCATAAAATTCAGTTGGTGGTTCGTCAACTAAAAATACGAGCTAAATTAGTCACTCGTTTGCAAAAACAATGACAGGATTCTTTGGGTGTGCATGCTATTACATTTGTCTTTAATGAGATTTTGTTCGTTTATGAGTGCCTCACATTACCTACCGCAGCACGTTGGAAATATTAAACTCCAAACCTAAAGCTATGCACTAAATAAATTTAGGAATAAATCTATTCTATGTATTAAATAAAGTTGATAATTGCTTAGTCTTCCTAAATCTATTCTATGTATTAAATAAAGTTGATAATTGCTTAGTCAAAGTCTAGCACCTATATAAAGGGTTAGCTTATGTTTGTAAAATAAAGCAAGCAAAAACAAAATAAAAAGATCAAAGCAAAGGCATACAAGTGAAGCCTTGCATATGTATTTGCTTCCTCAAAAGTTATATGCTTCCTCAAAAGTTATAAAAGTCCACTAAAGTTCTGCTAAAATAAAGAGTTCTATATTTGATTAGAGCTAGACAAACCTTCTATTGATGGCCTCGAACAATATGTTCCAACCTCAAATTCCAAAGTTGAGTAGAGACAACTTTGACAACTAGTGTATACAAATGTGAGTGCTACTTGCTTTTATGGACACGTGGGAGCTTGTACCGGATGGCTACAAGGAGCCATAGTCACTCGAAGAAGAGGAAGCAATGGAAAAAGAGTTGAAAGATTAGCTTAAGAATTCACGATAAAGGGACAGTAAATTATTCCCTAAGTCAAGTAGATTTCCTGAGGGGCGGTCTGTTCGGTGCATTTTAGCAGGCGAATCTCTCCCTGCTAACGTGCTCCCCCGCCTGGTTTTCAATGGCGAAGAAAAAGAAATCTGGTAGCAAGAGAATCCAAAATAGAGAGTTGAGGGATTCTATCTTCATCTATTCTTCAGCTGCTAGTGCTGGTACTTCATCGTTGGTTACTGGATCTTCCTCTTCCAGAGCTGATGCTGAATTCAATAAAACAGTAATTCCTCCGATGGAAATGGAGAGCACTGGTCCTAAAGGAGCAAGGAAAAAGATGATGATGGAGGAAACCTTAGCTAAATCCAATCCATTAACGGATCCTCAACCTCCTCGGCTAAATTCTGGTATGCTGATTTCTCGTCAGCTAGGTAAATCTCCAAACTCTATCTTATGCAAATGAGGTTGAAGAAGAGATAGATTCAGATCTGATTGATCATAATACTCATCATGATGGAAATGGAAATATGAGCTCTAATGTGAATGGGAATGCTTTTAATTTTGAGGATAATATTGAGAATGATTTTCTTCAAGGTGTTGAATCTGAAAATGTTGATGGTCTGGTTAGAAATCCAGTTGTTGTGAAAGCCAATAGTGACTCTGGGAAGGATAATCAAAAGAATACTGCTAGTTTGGAGAATAATGTTCCTGAAAATCAAAAATCATTTGCTAGTTTATTTGCTGATAATAGGAAACATGGTAATGGGTTAGAACTAAACTTTGTTCAACCCTCCCAAGCAAACACTGTTTCATTCTCTATGGATGAATGGAAAGAAGGTGAAGATTTCTAAAAATTTGCATTGATAAGACATGTTATTGGTCTAAATGTCAAATTTAAATCTATGGAAACCTATGTCAATAAGCTTTGGGGGGAAATTTCTATCCCTAAAGGTCTCTTAGTAAAGCAAGGATTGTTTCTCTTTGAATTTCAATCTGAGTTTCAAATGAAAGAGGTTTTCGAGGCTAGGTCATGGTTTTTTGGATCAAGACCTTTTGTTTTAAAACATTGGTCTCTTGACACAGATGTTGAGAAAATTCAAGATTACACCTATCCTATGTGGGTTCAGTTGCCAAATTTGAGATTGAATTTGTGGAGCTCTTCTGGTATCAACAAGATAGCCAGCATTATTGGTAATCATATTACTACAGATAAGCTAACTGCTACAAGGCAAAGATTATCTTATGCAAGAGTCTTGATTGAAGTTAATTTGCCTCTAAAAGAACCTCTCTCTGATCAGATTGCTATTCAAGGACCTGACGGGAAGTGCTACAATCAAAAAAATAGTGTATGAACTCAAACCAAGATGGTGTTCAAATTGTAATATAATTGGGAACATGACTGAGCAATGTAGAAGGTAAATTATGAAAAAGATGTGGGTTCCTAAGCAACTTGTTTCATGCACACAAGCTCCGGGTGAGCATGTTCATATTCTACAAGAGAGGGCTGTTGTTTCTGAAAAGGAGGTAAATGTACATGTATATAATGTGGTTTCACCTGTTAATAGGCAATCTATATCAACAATGCAAGAGCTTATTGTGAATCAAGAGTCTACTGGGAAAGAGACTGGGCATTCTAGAAAAAATAAAAATCTGCCTCATAAACATGCACCAACAGTAACCAGTCTTGGACAAATTATGTAGGTTTCTAGGAGTAATAATCTGGGTTTTGCAAATATGACTTCCCCTACTATAAATGTTACTAGCTTTGCAAGTGTTAGCATGGCAAATACTGCTAAAAGGGTTAATGTTGGAAACAAGTCTAATCTGGCATCTTCATATATTCAGCCATCTCACTTCTCTTTATTGAATTTCCAGGTACATGATCTTGACCCTTCAAATCTAGATAGAGGTGGACTATCACAATAATGGAACATTAGAGGACTGAATAAATCCTCAAAGCACATGATTGTTAAGCAGTTTGTTCATGATTTCAAACTTTCTTTCATAGCTCTTTTAGAAACAAAAATTGCTGGTGATAAAATGCATCTGATTGCTAAGAAAATGGTTAAAGATTGGAATTGGATTTCTAATTCTCAGCAAGCAAATAATAGAAGGATCTAGATTCTATGGGATAATGATATTCTCACAGTTTAATGCATATCATCCTTTGAGCAGTGCATATCATGTAATATAGTACCAAAGGATGACAAATTCTCACGCTTTATTATTGTGGTTTATGCACTAAATAATCGGAAAGGTAGAAAAGTGCTTTGGCATGATTTGCTTTCTCTCAAACAAAATGTTACCTGTCCCTAGATCATTAGGGGTGATTTTAATGCCATAATCAGCAATGAGGAGAAACTGGGGGTGCACTAGTCTCTGATTCTGATATTGAAGACTTCATAAATTTTATTTCTTTATGTCAACTGACTCATTTGAAGGCTACTGGTTTTTTTTACATGGAACAACAAGCAAGGGGCTGACTTAAGAATTTGAAGTAGACTTGATAGAGTATTAATCAATAAAGAAGGAATTCAGAATTATAACTCCAGTCAAGTGGATTATCGGGTTCCCAATTGCTTTGATCATTCCCCTGCTCTCATAACAATTGGAGAAGAGGATTCTAAAGGGAAAAAGCCATTCAAATTTTTTAGTATGTGTATAAATCATCCTGATTTTACCATAGTTGTCAAAACTGTTTGGGAACAAGATATCAGAGGCTTTCACATGTATAGTCTTCATACAAAGCTTAAGAAACTCAAGCAATAACTGAAAGATTTAAACAAGAAGCATTTTATGAACATAAGTGAGCAGGTATTAAGAGCTAAATGTGAACTATCTGACATTCAAAATCAGCTAAATAATGATCTCTTCAATCAAATGCATCAAAGGAGAAAGAATGCTTAAGTAAATATACCAGGCTAATTGATTGTGAAACTACTTTCTACAGGCAGAAGGCTAACATTAGATGGGGTTTATATGGTGATAAATGCTCCTAATTCTTTCACTCCATAATGAAAGCTAAGAGGCACCACAACATAGTGCTATCATTATACACTGAGAATGGTGAAAGGATTACAGATTTATCTGATATAACTACAGAATTCACTGAATATTATGAAAAGCTTCTGGGTGTCGCTACTCCTACTTAAACTCCTAATCCTGAGGTGATTTCAAGTGGACCAGTTCTATGTCCAGCTCAAAGCAATTCTCTGATTCTTCCTGTTACTAGAAAATAGATCAAAAATGCAGTATTCTCTATGTCAAGTGAAAGCCCCTGGACCTGATGGTTACAATACTTCCTTTTTCAAAGCTGCTTGGGATATCATCGGTGAGGATGTTTATTTAGCTGTTAAGGAATTCTTCAAGTCTGGTAAACTTTTGGGAACTTTTAATTCTACATCTATTACCTTAGCGCCAAAGATTCTCAAACCTAAATTACCTTCAGATTTTAGGCCAATTTTCTGCTGCAACTGTGTATACAAAATCATTTCAAAAATTATTGCTAGCAGAATTCAAGAGGTTATAGGTTTGTTGATTGGTGATGGCCAAAGTATTTTTGTCAGATGTAGGAGTAGCTCAAGTAATATATTATTAGCACATGAACTTATTAAGCACTATGGTAGAAAGCAGACCTCACCTAGAGCCACTCTTAACATTGATCTAAGAAAAGCTTTCGATACAATTAGCTGGAGTTTTATTAAGTCCATATTATCTGGGTTGGGTTTCCCTTACAGAATGATAATGTGGATCATGGAGTGCATAACCATTGTCAAATTTTCCTTATCTTTGAATGATGCACTTCATGAATATTTTAAGGGAGCTAGAGGCTTGAGGCAAGGGGATCCCCTCTCCCCCTATCTTTTTGTTCTTGGAATGGAGTATCTGTCAATAAGGTTAAACACTCTTAAAGCTGACAGATTATTTAGATATCATCCCAAATGCTCCAAGTTAAAAATCACGCATCTATTCTACGCTGATGATTTGCTTCTGTTTGGAAAAGCTGACATTAACTCAGTTGCAAGACTGTATGGTTGTCTTCAGGAGTTTAGTCAGGTTTCTGGGTTAGAAATTAGTCCCAGTAAATGCTCTGTATACTTAAGCGGCATTGATGAAATTTTGAAGCAACATATTTTCACTCTTCTGAATTTCTCTGAGGGGGTATTGCCAGTGAGATACTTGGGGATGCCTTTAATTTCTAAAAGATTGTCTTCTCTGGACTGTTCCCCTTTGATCAATAAAATCACAGATCAATT